TTGAGAAGGTTGTGTTAAGGTAACCTTATGACAGAAGGGGGCATACACACAACATATTGTCTGGTCCAGTTTCAGATTACTTTGTTCACTGAAGTTCTGGATGTGCTAGGGGATTTCCTGCTTTATAGACCCTACATGGCTGGGGGGGAAAAACATAGTGGGAACATGTTGAATCTATTAGTGGACATTTTCAATGCCTGTCTACTGAGGGCAAGGTGTCAGCTTTCCTCAACTGAATGACTCCTAATCACCTACTTTAAAAAAAAAATCCCAGAACAGTTGCAGTCTTGTTAGCTATTGCCATGTGTTTAATCTCCTTATTCAGGATAAGATTAATGAGAAGCTAAACCCAGGGCATTACACAATTATAGCCCAGTCCAGTATATACTATATACACACACACACAATTTATGGCAAAACTATTGTCCATCTGTTAGGTTCTTCCACTGTAAGCAAGAGCAACAGGAAAATACCGTATTGTTCCGGCCAGTATAACACTTTGGTGGATTATAATGAAACTGTTCCTTGGGAATAGTGCTCAGTGCTTAAGAACCACCATTATATTGAATAATGTGTCTAATATTTTAACTGAATTCACTTGTTGTTCAATAAATACGAATACACTTTCTGTGTCATTTCTTCTGCTATGGATTACTTCAGCTGCAAAATAGGAACAACAACACCCTTTACAGATTAGTTATTGGTGTGTTTTTCTTGTAGATTGAAGCCAACCTCTTCTTTTTATTATTAAATTGAATTAAGAGACTTGTAAAACATGCGGGTTTATAATGAAACATATAATATTTCAGTTTGCACCTGGCAAAACTGCCAGAAACCAAATTTTGGGTGGCTTGAATTTCCCTTATAAGGAATTTGGATTTAACTTTTGCTGCATTACCTCTTTTAATTGAACACTGTTTTCTAATGACTCTGCTTTATAGAAACTCTTGCTGAAAGCGAGAGAAATTGCATTTAACTGCAGGAGAGTACAGTACTTGCTTCACAGAAATTGTTTTTAAAATTCACAATATGCTCCTTTAAAAAATACTCAGATACTTCAGTACTGCATCTGACAAATTTGATGGATTTTTTTTTCCCATGGAGTATTTCACTAATAGCTTCAATGGGTTATATGCGTATGTGCTGTTATGATAACTGGCCATACAAATTTAGCCTAATTGTGAGCTCAACTGTAAAAAGTGAGTGTAAGTTCATAAGATGTCACAATAACCTATAAAAAGAAATGTTGATGGGAAAAGGTGAAAAACCGAGAAAGAGAGACTGAATTAGTCCAAACAAAGAGGCTTGCTGATTTAACTGAAAGACTGTCTTAAGATCATGCTTGGTTAACAAGAATAGTGTGAAACCAGAAATCCATGAATCAAAATTGCTGTGCTGGAAACTAGGCCTAATTGGTGGACAATATAAGGAAGAGATGGACTATTCCACCCATCACTCCCTTTTGGGGTCCCTAAATAAAAAGACTTTGGGAGAAAAATTGGCCAGTGGAGTGAGCTTCAGGATGGTGGCTGCCACCCACCTGGAACCCTTACCCCCTTCATCTCGATCCTAAAAATATCCTGACCAGTCCAGGCTAGAGAGAGGAACCCAGCTGACACATCCACCTTCCCCAGCTCTGGCTGAATCCCAACCACCTCCTGGGATGTAAGATTTTGTCCCCCACACCCTATCCTTTCCCTGCTGTGTCCTTTTTCTTCTGCACCTTATTTCTTCTCTTTCCTTTGTTTCTTCTGTCTAATAAGAATCTGGCTTAGCCAGCCAAGATTATATATTTTGCAACACTGCTGTAAGCCGATGACCAGAAAGAGGCAGCTAAACGCAGTGCCCTAATCAGCCTGATGCTGGTACAAGTTTGCCAGGTCTCACAGTGGCTGATGCCGGTGTTTCTCCAGCAGTGAGATTGCAAGTGAAAGTCAACACCAATGACAAAAGCTGCATTTTCTATCTTTGTTATTCCATTTTGCGTGTTTGTCTTGCTTTGTCTTGTAGGAAATGGGATCAGATTTTAACAGCAGTAGCTCCAGTCCATCTCACTTAACTTCTCTTTTATTCAAAAGGACAGTTATTACCATCTTTGATAACATCTAAAACACTGTCAAACCAGGGGAGGGGGCTCCTTCTAAAAAAAACAGCGAAAGGGAAATGGAACAAGGGATGTGGTTAAAATGAAAGCCTGAATTAATATTTTACATGTCAAATGCTTTAACTCTTTTCCTTTTTTTCAATATCTTTAATAAAAGGTTAAAAGGATTTTTCATAGTGTATTTGTTATGGTATTAAGCAGGCTGAGGTGTTTGTATACCAAACCCGAACCTTGTTTAAAATTGTTTAATGTTGGACAATGTCTCAATTATGTTAACACCTTTGAGCCCACATATTCCATATAAATTAGTGCAGTATGACAACAATGCTTAATCAAGCAATCCATTATACAGAAACCCTAACGTATGGTTTAACGAGTGCAGATTAAAAGAAAAGTTATAAGAGTTTTGCTAAGATCATTAATAACAAAAAAAATGCAAAGAAATAATCCAACAGCATGGTTATTGTAACATCCTACATCAAGAGAACAAAAATAAGTAGACCTCGAAAACAGAAGCAACCTTGTGATATATAAATGATACAAATTAGTTTATCTTCAGAAAAAAGGTACGGTATGTATATTCACATTAAAAAGTCACTGTATGTGACACTATTGATATTATTCCACACCCATTCTGTGTTTATAAATATATATTACATATATTCCTAGCTTTCAAAAAATGTTAGAAAGCATATATAGGTAGACTTTTTTTTTCTTCTGATTTTCTCTACAGTGCTCCTCCTTTCCCCCAACCATCCAGGAGTCTGTGCAATCCTGGTACTGAACTGCCTGTTCTGCTACTGGGATTTATCCCCTTACTCACAGTTCTGAGAAGATAGGAGAGCCATAGCACATTTGCAGCCTATATATTTAATAAAAAAATTAGAGAAAGGCATGTGCAGAAGGCCACTTTGATTTCAAGAGGTGGGAAAGGAGATCAGGAAGATTAAGTGAACAAGATTGTGTTAAGAAGCAATGAGACTTGGAAATTTACAGTTATGGAATAAAGAGGGGTGGGAGACAGGAACAAACAGGAGGAAAAACTAAGATTAGTTATCCAAAGGGAGTACAGTAACCTAGGAGGTGCTATACCCATCAGTGGGAATTAGCAGGGGCTATCTTGAAGTTGTACCTTATCTTTTGCTGAGATAATTTTGTGATTATTTTTTTTCTCATAACTTGTAGTAGAATACAGTATAACTGTGTATAAAAATGATAGTAGGCTTAAGCTTATGTCTAAAGGAAATATGATAATTCACTATGTAAAAACATTAAAGGACTCTTCCTGAGGTCAGAAATAATTAAAATGCTAATAAACCTAATTACAAGAGAGCATGTTTACTCAAACAATCCCAAGGGGTAGGCATATCTTTTGAAGATATAAAGGGTTATACCAGTTGAAGAGAAATCTGTATGTGAAATACTCCCTGCATTACTGTTATTATTAATTACTATTATTATTATATTTATAACGGTATGTTAATAATAATTTGCATTACAATAGCACATAGATATCTCACTCAGGTATTGGGACCCCATCGTGCTAGGAACCATACAGGTAAAATAACAAAAAGATTATTACTTTTCTAAACATGGACAAGGCTTAAACAAGGTTATAGTAACACAGTGACAGTGTAAAAGTTGGCCATATGTATATTTGCATCCTAGTTTAACAGCTCACATGTCTGAATTTGCTAATGTTGGCTTGAAACTTGGTTTCCAAAGACCTATAAGGAGTTGATTGTACATGGAGGTCTCACCATCACTTACTGACACCCTATCAAGAGACATGCAAATATGAGTAGGTAGCACAAGTCACAGTTCTGGAAAGCTCTGCATGGACTGAGAAATTTCCAAATGTCATCTGTCATCTAATAACCAAAGCTACCAACAGTTACCCTTTGCAATTAATACTCGGAGCCTATACTCAATCAGTCTCACAAGAGTAGAACTTCCAATGTTTGTATTTGTTTTTGTCTCTCTCTGTTCTCTATATTATTTACAAATGAGTATTACTTGGATTTGACCGTTAATATTGTTAAACATGTGATGAATGACTGTCTAAGAGACAAAAAACACTGTATCTTGTGGGAGGACCAGAATACAATTTGGCTTATCCAGTCCAAATTACACAGTTAACAAAGAAGAGGCTCAAGAGATGCCTTAGTCTGTCTATAAGGGTGCCAGAGTTGGCAGACACAGGGTCCATGCTAGCACCAGGGCTGACTTGTAATTTTCCTGGTGGGTGTTCAGCCCCTTCTCCCAAGGCCCCACCTTCACCTTGCCTCTTCCTGCCCCCACTCCGCCCCTCCCTGAGGCCTTGCTCTCGCTCCATCTCTTCCTGCTCCCGCTCCACCTCCTCTCCATGCCCCCCCACTCCGAGCACCTCAAGCCCACCGAACAGCTGATCAGTGGCCCCATTGAACAGCTGTGGCTGGTGGGTGCTGACCTAGCATCCCCTATTTTTACCCCAGGGGTTCTTGAGCCCTGGAGCACCCACAGAGTCGGCTCACTGTATATGTTGGTATATAGCATGCCCTTTGGCGTACCAGGGCATAGTTAGCTTCTGCTACAGGTTCAAAGTGTAAAACACAAACTAAAACAAGACATGCAAAGGATGACGCAAAACCGGATAATATAGACTTTTTTTGTGACTCTGACTCACAGTCTAGCTCACATCTAGTCCACTGAGCACCTGGGCTGGGATTTGCAAAGCTGCCTGAGGCTTTGGGACAGCCAAAAGCCATGCTGGGAGTCTACATAAGAGTAGTTTCCATGTTTTTAAGACATTCTGGGCACTCTATTCTGTGCCGCTCAACATTTCCCTAAACTCCTCTCCACTACCTAGCCTATTAGCATTGGCAACCATTCATCTTACAAATGATTAAACCATTACCTCTTGAAGAACCCTCTTCATTTTCAGCAGTAACGTCTTTACAGCTGTGCAGTCCTGCATCATCAGTCGGAAGGGTAAAGATTCCATTCCTCCACCTTCTTCCAGGCCTGCAAAAGGCCACTCCACAGCAGGACTGCTGGCCACCTGGCTGACACGAGGACATCTTGCTTCTCCTTGTTCCACCTCCTTTGACAACTTCAGAGAGAGGTTCCTAAGATGAGAAAATATAAACAAAATTTGGCTCTGTGGTACTTTTTAGGCTCTCTCCCTTTATGACTGTTTGGAGTGAAACATTGCTAACACTGAGCTTTCACTCTCTCTGTTTATAGTGCATATGATGAAGAGTTTATGAATAAACACAACCAACTTTTTGGAGAATAACTTGACTAGCCTTTTTAAGGCCCCATCGCCCGAGGATCTAGCCATCACCATGTATATTTAGGTAAACTTCAGATCGTTCTAGAATTGAAACCAAGCTTTCCTCCATGTCCCACAGATAAAGCCACTTTCTTACAATGTTAAGTGTAAGTGGGATTTCACTTCTAGGAATTAAATTGCTGGGGATACATTTTACCCCATTTTGCTATATGCTCAAATTAAAGGGATGGACATAAATTTATGATTAAACTGGCTACAGGGGTTCTCAACTGGGGGTCCGGACCCCTCAGGGGGTCATGAGGTTATTACATGCAGGGTTGCGAGCTATCAGCCTCCACCCCAAACCCTGCTTTGCCTCCAGCATTTATAATGGTGTTAAATATATAAAAAAGTATTTTAATTTATATGGGGGCTCACACTCAGAGGCTTGCTATGGGAAAGGGGTCACCAGTACAAAAGTTTGAGAACCATTGGCCTACATGCAATGAAGTTCACGGTCTTGTTCATTATATTAGTTTTCCATATGGCTATAACTTAGAATTTAGCCCAACCCTTAAGGAAATTAATGAGGAGGAAAACCAAAGGAAATAGTTACATTTAGAGTTGAACCAATGTCATAATTATGTTTATTTTATGGTATTGTTTGGAAACTGCAGTTTGGAAAAAGAATGAGCAATCTGAAGTTGTTAATTATCTCTATAGCTTGTGTAAGAAGAACATGGGCGAACATGTGAGAAAGGGTCTATCAAGAACCACTGAAATCAATAGAAAGACTCCCACTGATTTCAATGGCCTCTAAATCAGGCCCTGAGGCAGCAAAAGAATACTGTTATGTTAACCTGACATCCTACCCCATACCCACACTATCTGATCTTGGAACAGAGCATCAGAACAAGACATGACTCCCACTTAGATGATAACAGTTCTGAGTTCTAAATACAACATAAACTCAGCGAAGAAGCTCTAGCAATCATAAAATGATTTAAAAACAGATTATGTGGCAATTTGGTGAAATGGCAAAGCAAGTAAATGCACTATGAACACTTCTGTCCACAAAAACTTTTTGTAACCTTCATGCTGTGACTTTTTTACCTGGGTCCAATGGGAAACAGGAAGAGAAGGCTACATGAAGCACAAACACCAGAATATAGTAGTAGTTTGTGATAATTGTACATTAATTAATTGTTACATTACAAAAGGGTTTCAATGGAATTACTTGTCATATCCATACTATTATCAAAAGAATGTACTATCATTAAAGATGTTAGTATAAGTGGCAATGGAAATACAGGTCTGTCGCAGCTTACGCACATTTAACATGCGCGATTTCAGCTTTACGCGGTCGGCAAAAACAAAAAAAGAAGGGAAAAATAACAATTTTAATACTGTACCTGTAGTGCGGGCGATTTCGCCCGCCATTCAACTCAATGTAATTTTGACTATACGCAGTTTTCGCTTTACGTGCTAACTGCGGAACAGACCCCCCGCGTAAGATGAGACTCGCCTGTAATGCTTATTGTCCATTTAAAATACAGTTAAAATTTTCTGTTCCATTTGAAATTTTTGTAAGCAAAAAAAAAAAATAGTAGTTGGTGTTTTGATTCTGAGTTTTAGGGTTTATTATTCAATGATAAAGCAAGAAAGATAAGAATCTTCCCAATACATTTTGCTTTAATGTTAACTTTGGTTCCACAAGAACAAACATGCAAAAAAAAAAAAAAAGAGATTAATATGTTTTTTTTTCTGGATAAACAATTCCCACTGCCACCCTAAACAAATGGAAAATGCTATTACCAGGGCAATCTCTTATGGATGGCTCATTAAGAAGTTATGGAATATGTAATGTGCATTTGGGACAATGTGAACTTGGGAAATGCACCAAAGAAGTCACTGATATGTCATGCATAGACAAATGCTTATGATGGACAATGGAAATAAAATTTTCTAAGCCTGGCTTCTTAAGAATATCACTTGGGAATGAAATAATTTTGTTTTTAATTATTAAAATATATTGAAACAACATTTTGAGTAGAATATTTTATGTGGTTCAAATGATAATCTGGGATGGATATGGTAAAAGTCTGTGAGAGCCAAGAATATTACCTAGCTGTTTATTCATGGCACTTATTAAAGCAGTCTCAGGTATAAATCATGGAAGGAAAAAGAGACAAACATTCACTGAAGCATTATTACATGAGAAGTCACTTTTTTCTCTTAAATGTTTGTTTTAAAACATACTCCTATTGTGGGAATCTATATCTGAATGAGTTTAATGAAACTTACAAACACATTGTTTGACTGAAGTAAGATGAAATAGCACAATCTCCCCCACCCCCACCCATTTCCTGGCTACTGACTGCAGGTTGGCAAATGAAATTGCAGTAGAATGTCAGCAGTCAAGAAACTAAGAGAGGAACCAGAATTTCAACCTGCTATCACTCCAGAGGAGGCGGTCATGTTGCAGGTAGAATGCACCTACAGTGAGAAAGAACAGCAGCAAAAGGAGTCTTTAATAGTACGCCCGCATTAGTAAAGACAGTTTTTTATTTTTCCCAGTGCCTCTGCATCAGTAGCAGTGTTCTACTTCACTTGTGCGCACAGAAATTATCACCACCCGTGGAGTACCATTATTCCAAAAAAGATATTGCTTACTAAAACCGTCATTGTGGCACTTACGTATGAAGTGGAGGTGTCCTGGGAAATAAAATAAATTTGGATTGGATCAAAACCCATTGAAGTTAACAGAAGACTTTTCATTGGCTTCTGCTTTCTTTGGTTGCCATTAAAAGGTCAATATTTACTAGTAATTGCTTCAGAGCGATAGCTCAGACACTATGGTATTTTTGCGATACTTGCAATAGGAATATCTCCACAGTGTTAGAAAACTTCTGAGGTGTCTAGCACAACTGCTAGTGCAACTTTTGTTTAGTGCAAAGGAAGCTTTCCAAAACATGATTTTTCACCAAGCACATCATTACTAATGTATGATTATTCTGTTATGCAATTATGTAATATAATGTAATTAATCACATAACAGCACTAAAGATTTAGCGCAAAAAGGCTCTTTCATGAATTTGTTGTATTCCCTAACTAGTAAACCCCGCCACTGCGTTTGGTGTTATGTTTCAACATTCTCAAAATTAAATCTTTCAATAAAGTCATTTCAACATTTCCAAATTGACAAATTTCAAAATTTCCATTCCACAATATATTTCGAGATTTTGACTTTTCATCCTCATTCAGTATGATCAGAAATTTTGAAATGTTGGAATTGCCTGCAGGCTAGAAATTCTATTTTTCAACAATCACAGTTCAGGGCAATTTCCATGATCTAGCTTGGGCACCCGCTCCAGGTTCCAGGGTCCTCAGATGTCACCTCTCCTGGGTGCAAACACGCATCTCTCTTTTTTCTGACTGGAGTTTTTCCAGGATCCGCACTTTCCTGCCTACGCTGTGAGTTCCCCAGAAAATCAGACTGCCTAAGCAGGCCTGCTTTGCTTTCTTTTCAAAGCAGTAGCATAGCCAGGTGGAGGGACCAGGGGGAGCGATTAAAAAAAAAAGGGGGGCCACCCGCTGCGGCGCTTTTACTCACCCAGTGGCACTCTGAGTCTTCGGCGGCGAGTGAAGGTCCCGCCGCCGAAGTGCTGCCGGGTGAGTAAAATAAAAGCACCGCAGCAGGTGGCGCCTTTTTTTAAATCACTCCCCCAGGTGAGTACAAAGACGCCAAGAAATTGACACGGTGCCACTTGTGCTCAGTGGGGGAGCGGCCGCTGACCCGCTCCCCCCCAGCTACGCTACTGCTTCAAAGGCTACCAACAGTGTTATTGGTATAAGATTCCACACAGCTCTTATTGTGAAAGCATTCCAGAAAAAAACATATTAAAAACAATTAAAGAACCTACATCCATGCGAATAAGCTTGATCACCCTCAACTCCAACAAGGGCTCAGGCAGGTGGTCAGGCCTTCAAACCCCAAGGGGTTTTTCTGTGGCTATAAGATTATAACAGCTTCTAGCTCTGAACAGGCACACCCATGAGTCTCCTTTATAGAGTTCGGGCCTTTGATCTTGGAACCCTGGGAACAGGTCATCAGCATGCAGTCACCTTCTCTTCAGGCCCTAGCTTCAAAGGACTGGGTTTTTGCATAAGTGGAGGCAAGGGGGGCATTTGCATTCATCTTATTCTAGATATTTCCCAGGAAATACACGTCACAGGTTTTGTCCCAAAATGTTATTCTTGTCTGCCACATTATTCAACATGATCCATTGATTACCCAAGGCCACAACATTTGCATTTAATACAATGGACTCCAAAGATACTTAAACTTAATTCAGTAATATTTCCCAAAGATTTTTCAGGATATTGCCATATCCGTCACACCAACCACGTCTAGAACTGCTGCAAAGTCTGGAAATACAACAAGAGTGCTTCATATCAAAATCATTGATTTGGGGGAACAGACGCTGCCACCTCTTAATTGATTTTAAAGAGCAAAAGGGTGAGGAACTGACACAGAGGTTAATTATTTATCTAATTGCTTTGCAAACAAGGAGCAAGAGGAAACAATCTACAATGATTCTGTTTACATCTAGATTTCATTTGTGTCTGAACTCCTTTTTTTCTTTGACAACCTGACAGATTTCAATGGGATTTAGGCATCGAGGGGCATTGGAAAATCCAACTAGGCCCCTATCTGGAACTTCACATGCCTAAATACCTTTAAAAACCTGGCCCCTAAACTCTAATGCATTCCCAGATGGACCAGTTTTTAGAAGCTGTAGGCCCTTCCCCAAGAATGCCCTGCTGCCACCCCTGGAAAGTGTTGTCCCCAAA